GGGAAAATCAGACTGAAAAGGGATATTGGAAAATCCGAAAAAAAAATCGGAAGAACTCAACAATTCTTGACGAAAACGCGTCATATCGCGCCTACCACAACAACTTTAAAAGAAAACGATATATCCGAGAAAAATGAGGGAGAACAAAACCTCATTACTTTAGCATTGCCCATATATGTTTTCAATGCCTTCTTTACAAGAAAAGTTGATAACTTAGCTGAGCGATTGTTTCTGACAGTTTGCAAACTTTCAGAGACTTTTGTGAGAACAGACTTTTTGCACAGCTTCTCATTTACATGTACCCTTAAACAAAAGGTAGCAGTGTGAAAAGTTCTGTTCGCACATTTGGTCTTAAAACGTAGGCCAACTGCCAAAAAGTGTAACGATAGTATAACGTATGCCGAGCAATATCGATATTTTTGAATAAAAATCCATCGAAAAATGATCGGTGTACGTGTGATCTAAGGGTCGACTTTCGCTCTTGAAATTCCAAAAAATCCTAATTTTCACCGTTTTCCGATGGATTTTAATTTATAAGTATCGATTGCTATGCTCGGCATACGTTATACTATTATTCCAAAACTCGTTTCTGTTTTTACCTATAAACAATTAACTTTTTCAGACCCGCGTCACCGGCTAATTTTGCTTGCATGTTGAGAAGCTGTTCGCTTCTTATTCTTAATAGCCGTTCTCTATCGTCTTGATACAGGCCTCTCTCAGATTTTGTCATGTATTTATATTCTGTGCGACCTGGTACCAGTTTAGTCCTGCTGTTCGCTTAATGTCGTCGTTCCAGCGTTGTTGAGGTCGGTTGACGCTTCTTCGTTCCCCCCAGGTACTCCATCTTGTTACTTTTCCGCTCCAGATGTTGCTTGTGTTTCCGCTACGTGGCCGGCCCAGCTCCATTTGAGGGTGCATATTCTTTGTGTAATGTCTTCGACATTTGTTGTGTTTCTTATCCACTCGTTGGTCTTATGATCCCTTAGTGTAATACCCGCCCACCATTCTCCTTTCGATTGCTCCCTGATGTACTTGCAGCTTATTAAGGATTTTCTTTGTTAGAGTCCATGTTTCGCTTCCATAGGCAATTACTGGCGGAATACATTTGATGTAGACTTCAGTTTTCAGATTCAAATGTAACTTCAACCGGAATATGTGGCCATGTTACCATACGCCGCCTATCACACTCGTTTTCTGCTATTAATTTCAAGCTCTTGACTTTGCCAAGCGTTTTTTCCTGTCCCAGAAACTTGTAGGAGTTTACTTTCTTCACCTGTTAGTTTTCTATGGTTATTCTGTCTCTATCCGTTTGCTCATTTGTCATAAACTCTGTTTTTGATATGTTCATTTCTAATCCGCATTTCTTGGCTTCTTGATGGAGTAATTCTTTTAGCATGATTTCTAAGTCTGTTCCGTTCGGTGCCAATATTACGATGTCATCAACGAATCTTAAATTATTGAGCTTTTCTCTAGATATATTGATCCCTATATTTCCCCAATGTAGTTCCTTGAACACATCTTCGAGGACTAGGGTGAACAGCTTACGTGATATTATATCGCCTCGTCTTACGCCTCTTTTGATCTTCACTTCCCGTGTATCTTCATTCTTAATTTTTGGTTCCTTCTTGAATATTTTTGATTATGTTTATATATCCCTGATCTATTCGTGCATTTTTCATAGCTATTTCTATTGCCCAGAATTCGACAGCGTCGAAGGCTTTCCTAAAATCGATGAATGCTAGCCATACTCCAATGTTATATTATATTCGGCCGTGTTTTCATCTCGTATTCTTATTGTGTGAAGATGTTCTATAGTGCTGTAGCTCTTTCTATAGCCTGCCTTTTCTCTAGGTTGGGTAATCATCGAATTTCCTTTCTAGGCGGTTGGTGATTATCCTCATAAACAGTTCGTATATCTGAGACACAAGGCAGTTATGAGGTATGGAAGATATAGGCTTATAGTTTTCAAGATTTGATGGGTCTCCTGTTTTGTATAAGAACGACGATGGCAGTTTCCCAGTCGTGTGGTATTTTCCCCTCTGTTAAACATTAATTGAAAAGAGTTTACAGTTGTTCACCTGCCTTCTTCAGCATTTCTGATAGTATGTCGTCTATTCCTGGGGTTTTGTCCGTTGCTTGATTGGCTTAACGCTTTTGCACGTTGACGACATAACTACCAAAACCTGAGAGAGCATACATTATACTAATGTTGCATTTTGTGGCAGTGAGCCTACGGTATATCTAGCGAATTTAAAGACCTAAATCAAAAAGTTGATACAAGCCAAAAGAACAATACAAATATTAGGGTATTAATATTATGTATTTCGATACCTGGCAAAGATAATCTGCACGAAGAGAAAACATTCTAAATACTTGATTTTGGAATATGCAGAAGGCAGAGCACACGACCTTATCCTTGATAACTAACCAAGTAAATATCCGGAAATTGATATGCCTCCACGAGAGGCATCGCTCTTGAAAAATGTCCCTAGAAACATAGGACTTTCCCTCCGCTATTCAGTATCGCTACCGGAGACATATTATTTTGGGATGTAAGTTGTAATGGGACACAAGGAGATAAATGAAGCCTCAAAAATACTTCATCAGGAACTAGCAGAAAAATTAGATCTATTGTGTGAAGATTAAATCGAATCTTGAAAATGATAAAAGCTGTATTGAGACGGTACTGTACTTACAAATCCTTGGGTTGTATACAATGGACCGGATATTTTATCAATCGTCGATGAGGTCAAGCAAAATAAAACGTTGCCAAATACAGATATTGAGTACTGCAAGTATAGCAGTGATGGAAGTCAATGGGAATCCCAGACAATAATTTTGTCTTCAAACGTGGCGATACCAAGAAGTCTTTGGATAACTTCAGCCTTGTAGGAATTAATGGAAATATCTTCAAAGGCCATACAGAATGGAGTCTCACTGATCACGACCCGAGTTCTCAGGAAATGTATGGGTCCACTTGAAGTCCAAAAGCAGGTCTCCATGGAGCTCAATCTTGTTATCATGAAATGAGTGAATATTTCTGGAAAAGTTATAGTTTCGAATGCGATTTGCCTTAGGGCGAGAATTATAAAACTATTTTGACAGATAACTAAAAGTAAATTAAAGTAACGTAATTCCAGAAGTTAATTTTCAGTTATTTGTCAAAATAATTTTATATAACTCGCACTTAGTCTAAGATAATAATTATAAGAATGAATAAAGTAAAGACAGATAAATATGGATAAATTAGTGTTACAGTAAACTTGCGGGAAGCGGGCATAAGCCTGTTGCAAATGAGACGCCTAAGTTCTACACATAAATACCGACTATACAGGGTGTCCCAAAAAGATACTGACAAACTTTAAGGCGTAGTAAGGGACATCAAAACAAGCATTTTTGTTTATATAAACATATGTCCATAAATGAGCTATTTGGGCTGTAGAGTAAAAAAACTGTTTGGTACTTTTATTCTTCGCCGTCATTATATCACTGATTACTTATTAATTTTGCTTTATTAACAAATAAATTATGGTTTACAATAATTGTTCAAAATTTTGACCATTTACTTCAATGCAAAGATTGCACCGTCGGGTCATTGACTGAAAAGTTTAGTCTACGAAACACCTGTTCGTAATGAGGAAGATCTGTTAGCAAGGATAGGCGAGTTATACCCATGTAGAAGCTATTCCTGGAATATTCCAAAGTAACGTAACTTTATAATTTTTTGAAATCAAGAACGGCTGGACCGATCTTGAATTTAATAACATACGTATCTCTATATAAGCCGAATTCGATGGAACTAGATTAGATCGATTTGGGTTCAATTTAAGTGAACTTCTTCTGATCTAGATCATTTTTTTTTGTTGATGAGGGTGCACTGATCCAACCTCAATCGAACACAGTGTGGTTCATTTAAATTGAACCAGGATCGATCTAATCTAGGTCCATCGAATTCGGCTTATATAGAGATAGGTATGTTATTAAATTTAAGATCGGTCCAGCCGTTCTCGATTTCAAAAAATTATAAAGTTACGTCGGTTGAATGCGCAAGCCTAAATAAATAAAATGTGGCAACGTTGTTTCATGTTGTCAAAAAAAAGTTGGGTTATGTTGTTATGTAATGTGAATAGGTTTGTTTATAATTAAATTAATAATTAATTCAAAATTAATTTCATTTTCCGAGATGCGTAACCTATCCACAAACCTTCTTTGAGATGGCTATAACAACCTACCAAAGTTCTGTAATCTGATACACTGGAACGCCTATAAACAGCCCGGGGCGCTCTAGAGCAGCTCTGGAGTGCTTAAAATTGCGTCACTGAACTCACTGGCAAGCGACTCTGGTATCGGATTTAAAAAAAAAATTTAGTTAATCAACAAAAAAATTTGAAAAAAAAGTGAATTATTTCAAAATGTATTTTCACGCTGGCAACGCAGCGGGTCATTAGCTAGTAGGTTTTATAAATATGACGAAAATGTCCTATATATTACAAAATTCGAAGTTCCAAGCTTATATGATTATTAATTTTAATTCCATTGTAAATGAAACCCAATACGGAATTACTCGCTAATAATATAAACCTTCCTGACACAAGTTCCTATATGTTTTCCATAATCTGTTAAACTTTTTTTGAAGTTGGATGCCCTTATTATCAGTCAGTACATCGTACATCTACGATCTGCTACAATAGGCAGTTTAATAACTGACAGCATTACTCAAACTGTTGATTTGTAGATTACCGAGATTGTTAGTATGATAAGTTTCGAAATCTAAAATAAAATTAAACTTTGTGTCGCCATAGAAACGACATGACTGATAGCTGGTGATAATGAACTATTTTCTAAATCTTTTAGGGGTTGTCGCATAGTGTTCTATTTGAATAATTTTTAATTATTTGATGAGCGGATTATAAATAGATTTTATTCCCGAATGTGCACACAAAATTATCTCTGCCACATGTTAATTAATAAAATAAACGAATTTTTCAAAAAACCGCCAATCAAGTTTCTTCCTTATAGGAAACAAACTAAGAGTGAAATATAAGTAATTACATTATTAAATATAAGATTAAAAAACTACCCAATTGTAAATTTATATTTTGTGAAACACAAAATTGAGTATTTCCTTATGAAATTCTAAACAAAACCAGCGTCATGAAACAATCCAATAGCCGTAACTAATTCTGATAGTAAATATTGAAAAGCAATTTTTTTTTTTGGGAAAATTTGTAAGTAAATTGAGTTGTATTATAATTAGCTGTCCGCAAACAATGATCGATAAATCAATATTAAAATTAATCTCGTTTTCCTGTGATCAGGGTAACGAGTCGTTAAACGTTTCGATATTTCAAACAGATAGATTGTCCTTAGCGTCATAAGGACGACAACTTGTGAAAAGAAAACAATCACACCGTTCAGGAAATAGTTGGAAAAATTGGTTGTTAAAAGCATTAAGGTAATCGAGCAATTAATAATTGTTCTAATTATAAATGGTAATTGGTTTTATGTCTAGGAATATTGATAGCCATGTCTAGTGAGAATAATAATAACTAGAAATTATGCTACTAATAACATTTTTGCTAATGATGGACACGGGAAAATTTAGTCATATTTTAGTTTACACAAACCATTTGGGAGATTATTAGAGGGCAACATGGCACCAATATATTTCCAAAGCTTTCATAAAGGAACAACATTTATGTTATTGATTGATTGAAAGTATTTCATTGGAACTTTAATTAAATAAATCCAGTTCCGTAGATTTTGAATTTTGAAAAATATTGGACAAAGTAGATGTTTGACATATAGCTGTTGAATAAAGTTTATTTTTCCAGGTTTTTCTTTGAAAAAATAGCCTAGACAAATCATTGATACCGATTTTCTCAAACAAAATGAAAAGCAAGTCAAGGAACGACTTTATTTAATTCTATAGGCGCAGTATATAGGTATAATATGAAATTAATTGTTTGGCATTCATCTCTGATCCATCTAAGAAGTTACAGGGTTGGACTAAGTTGAAAATCAGGGTTGACCGGTATCTATAACATTATTGAAGTCGCCAAACATATGAGGTCTGTTCCAACACGTCAAAAACTGCGCCTTAAACGGTTCTGGAACCATTCTGTTTACAAAATTTCGGATTCTTCGCACACATTTTAAGCTTTGCGTATAGAATCCTGACGGTACATTATACGGTTTCCTGATGTGTTGTTCATCAACGCAATACACTAAATCTAGTTTGAAATTTCAGATTGTTACGGATCTAATTTAATTAATTATTTAGCAGCAAATTTCTGGTGCAAAAGTCCGAAACGGTATATTATAATATATTCCACCTGCATAATAAAAACGCCGGTTATCAACATCCACGAAAGAAATCTCCAACAATAATCAAGTCGACTTTCATTATGTGGCAATACATACGGTATTAAGCGGCCAATGCTAAGTTCAACGTGCGCTTGACATTGCCTTCTGTCTCTGTATACCGCGCATCTGTTATTATGTAGCTCGATTGTTTTGAAAAAGAGAAAATACGCAGTCGCTTTTTTTCCAGCGTTTTCTATTATTTTCCATGCCATACTTTAATTATTATTATTGTTATTAGCGATAGTTAAACGCCAATGAAAATCTAATCGTTCGACATGCGGTATTTTTATTTATCGCCTTTAATATTACGTTCTCTAGTTTATTATGGTTATTTATTAGTGGCCTAGACATTTAATGCAACATAAACAAAAAATGCGAAACGAAAAATTAATGGAAAACTAACACATACATCAAAAACGGAAATTATTATTATTATTAATTACTTAAGCGGGTTTTCAGATTAGCCAAACTATAGGTACTCTTCCAAACTTGATTGAATCTCATTACCACAAAAATAACGACAACACTTTGTATTACTTAAGTTAAGCTTAACCGTTTAGAAAACGTAAAGTATATCACGTTAAATTGAGATATACCGCTTCCAGCAGGGGGTATTTTCTTCATCTTCTTGTGTTCGACCTACCAGTATCCACTTTTCAAGCCTAGAGATGACACTCAATGAATTTCATGATAGTACGTACCTGGAACGGACCCGTCAATTGCCGGCAAATTGAGAAAGTGTGTCAGTGGCAACCAAATGGGTCCGGATGGGGTGTTCCGCATCGACAATCGGGAATGATAGGTGGCTGTCTTTCCACATTACTTCATTTAGCCTCCTATAATCCCGGCGATGACTATTGACTATCTATTCTTCTACGACATCCTTCAGCATTTATTGAGGAATGGTGTTAACTTGGTAATGCTTTGCGGAGTTGTTGTTCGAGTTGGCTTATATTTGTGTCACTGCCTGTGTTGATGTGATGTTATAGTAAATTAGTTCGTCGAGTAATTTCATCTTGTACAAAGGTAACAGCGTCTTTCACAAAATCAGTAATTTTACTGATTCTGGGCTAAATGAGTCCACTCCATAAGTTCATAAAATAAGTGTTTACAGGATCCTGCTTTGCGTTTCTCACTATTCGGATTACATCTCTCGGCGTCATTTCCTTTCTTCAATTTCACCTCGTTTGACATTAGATTACCTACTTTCACTGAAACAACTTTGTTGGAGTTGACTGAACAGTATGCCAAAAGCGTTCTATTCTTTCTGTTTTCCACTGCTTCCACTCTGAATGATGTTCAAGCCTTCTAGTGGCCTTTCTGGGTGTGTGATCTCAACTTGGCAGCACTTATTCAAAGATTAGGAGAAAATTATTTCTCCGTTGCCCTCTCTGAGCATTTCATTTTCAAAGCCTACAGGTAGAAATTGAAGGTTTCATCTACTATGTCAGCAACTATCACTTCTATCTGGTAAAAAAGTTTTTTCCGGGTGTTGCGGAAATAACCCACAGGTTTAATTTTTATTATTTCTAATTTAATATAATTTTCTTCTCTATTATTTACCATAAAAATGATATTCTAAAAATAGATGCTATTGCTGCACTATTTATCCTGTAAAGCCGGCAACAACAACCCTTTGAATCGGTAAAATTGCAGGTTTCTTCATTACCTTATAAGGTAGTGAACCCGTCTCGCTGCTGTGATTGGTCAGCCGCCACACAAAATCCCTAGTTTTTGCGACCTGCTCCCCTGGCAGAGTCTAGTCAACGCACATTCTTCTGTACTATTAGAATAAGCGAAGAGTTCGCACCCTCGCGCCCTCTAAATGCTCTCCAGAGGCGAAACCCCCAAAAACCCCCGTTAGTACGCGCGATTTATAGTAAAATACTACTCTCTGTGTCTCAAGGCCTGACATGATCTATATTATCGATTACAATTCATGTAATTAACCCCTAATTGTTGCAAGTCACCTCTAACGAGCAAAATTCTCTCGTACGCGCTTGTCTTTTGGCTCTCTGTCACTCTCGACAGGCTCCAACGCGCCTGTATATCGTTGTGTTTTCTTTTCATCTCAGTGGAAAATTCCCTAGCTGCCAGTGTGAATAGTGGTGATAAATGGATAAATAATCGCCTTGTGGATTTATCTGCATGAACCGGATTAAGCAAGTAAGACCGTTACAATTTCTCTAACAGTCAAACAATAAATGCTGATTAGTGATTCGCTTGAAATGCACTATAAATTGAAGTGTTTTCTAACCTTTAATGTAGAAATTTGGTTTTCATACTCGTGAAATTAACATTTGTACATTTGTATATAGAAACTGAACATATATAAAGACTTTTCTTATACATATTGTTTACCGACTTACGTAGAAACGTGCTCAAATTGTTAATTCCTGATACATCAAAGAACTTTCAAGGATCAATAATCATTTTGTGATTGCTCTGAACTGATTAAAGTTGACGAATTATTTATGTTGTGCTCTCGTGCATTTAATTAGTTAATTTGTGTTCTCGTTCATTGAACATTTAACCATAAATGATGTTATTATCATTATCAGATTTCCCTACTTTTTATCCATCAAGATACTTACCTATTTTAGAAAACTTTGCTTTAGATTAGTATAAAATTTGTAGTTCGACTGGACGTCCAATTAGGAATTTTTAGATAGGATTAGTATTGCAGGTATTTCTTGTTCTTGTCTTGCTTTTTCTTGTTCTTGTCTTGTTCTTGCATGCAAGAACAAGACAAGAAGTGGATTAGTAAGAAATATACAAGACAAGAAACTAATGAACAAGAACAAGATTTCTTGTGCAAGAAATTTCCAAGATGCAAGACTTTTTGCATAATTTATTTTAAAGAATATTAATCAGGTAATAGACCCTGAGATAGGGCCTGTTTAGTGGAGTCATTTTTTTTTTGTCTGGCATTTTGAGGGCTGCATGTGACTAGTTAGCTGATGAGAATTTAAGTGGTTTTAATGCCTGCCTCCTGTTCGAAATGCGCACAGAATGTTTCGCCGGATAAATCGATTTCGAAATGTGATTACCGTCTGGCGATTTAACAGCGTTATTTTCACAACAAAACCATTTACTCTCTCGATTGCCAGACAAAAAGTAAACGCGGAAGGTTCTTTTCTTTTCTCTTGGAAGTTGTCACCCATTCTCTTTTTTCCAGTTATTGAAAAGCATCTGGTATTTTTTATGGATGAATTATTTATCAATGTCAATCTTTTATTTAAAAGGCAGAAAACTTGGGATCATTAAAAAAAAATCTTCATGTAAATCAATTTTTTCTTCTCCAAAATTTTCGAACGAACGGCAGGCATTAAAATCACCCATAATCTCATCAGCTAACTAGCCACATTCAGCCCTCAAAATGCCAGACAAAAAAAATGACTCCACTAAACAGTCCCTACACAGTCTATAAGTAATAAATATTTGCTAGAAAGCCAGGGCCGCAACTAGAGGGTGGCGAACTAGGCACCCGCCTAGGGCGCCTTATTTAATCCATCCATATTTTAAAATCCAAAAAAATGCAACGGTTTTACGCGTCATTTGTCGTAGCACGGAAATTTATTTTGCTTTTGTTACATCTCACTTTGCCAATTATCAACAATACGAATATCGATAGTAATCATATAAATTATGTCAAACACAG